CTGAATCGCGTAGGCCAGCGTGCACGAAAAACCTTGGGGTCTTCCGAGGCCGTTAAGCCCCCCGCGTGGTAAGGTCGCGCTTAAACACGTGCTTGAACGCTCATTTTCCCGGGCCTCTAGGCGACGCGACGAAGGAAACGAGAGAACGGATAAAGAAATCAGGTCGGGATCGTAGGGGCGGCGAACTTTTTGCTCGCATCTTGTTCGAGAACGAGTGCTTGTTGGATTCTTGAAATTTTCATTAATTCGACGGAATATAAAACACCTTTGGAATCCGATCGTTAACCCTTGTCCACGATTATTATTTTCTGATCCAGATCCGAAGAAAACTAATAGTAAAATATTGATTAAATGGGATTTGGAAATAAAACAATGGATAGAAAACAATGAAATCAAAGTAGATTTTCCTATGGAGTGTTTGAACTTCATTAAAAAAAAAAGGAACTACCAGGAAAATGAAGTGGAGTTTAATTAACAATCGATACGGTTTGGAGAGCTTTCGATATTTTTTTCATCCCCAGTTGCCGTCGATTTCGTCGAACACGCTGATTGCCAGTTTTTGTACGTCGATAAAAACCCTCCGGGCAAGAACGATGTACAATTATTTTCTCATTGGCTGAAAACAGCGTCGAAGAAAAGCGGTGATTGCTTTGGTAAACATGATGCTCTTTTTAACAATGCCACAGCTGTGCGAACATACCTAATATTAGCTGTACAAACAGACATTTAATGGGTTTGTACAAGTTACATTCGCAGAATTAGACCATCATCTTCCAAAACAAAAAGAATCACCGGGAATCCATTTTATTACGTGTAGAACCATAAACATTCTTTTTCCTGCATAAAATTCTTTCTATTTTTTCCACTTTCTGGTCTGCGCTCGTCGCTAAAGGAATTGCGAGGGAAAGATTTATCAGAAGCTGTACAATGAGAGAAATGTTAGGCGAGGTTAGGGAAATCCAGGCGATCCGGGTCAACGTGTTCCAACGATGTATGCTCGAATTAGCTGACGGCACGCCGGAATCCAGATCCCCTGGGATGGAACGAAACGATGATGACGACGTACGCGTCCCGGAAGGACCCACGAAACTGTCACATAATTCGATAAAGCGGGCCGGACAGGGGCTGCTGGTGATAGAGGATACAGGATTGCCCCGTTGGCAATGTTCCATATTACGCTCTGCTCAAACGAATATTTTTCAGAAAACCGTACTCGACCTTCGGATAAATCTTTTCTCCTTATCATAATATTTACCACCCTTTATGATTAAATTATGTTTTAACAGGAGTATCTTGACTAAACTGCCATCCGCTTCGTGGTTGACATACTGGAGCGAGGCGATTGATTTGTAGTAAAAGTAACAGTGAAGAGAAATTTAGTTTAGTTAGCATAGAGAAAGTAGACGTCTTTATTCATCTTTGTTTTTACAACCCGAGTTCTAATTTACGGAACACGAATAGCGAAATTCTGATTTCTCTCATAGATTTAACATGGGTATCGGTTTCTGGGACCATTCCTCAAGGACACCACCGATCTCTGATTTTATTAGCCAACCCGTATCTAAAATTGAAAATCTTGAGAAGGGGACTATAGCATTTTAGACTTTCTATCACTTTTGTACAGGCCAAACGGTAAGAGTTATCGAAAAAATTCTTGCGCCATTGTGTTTAGTGGGTCAAAATCTCAACGAATGGTCGAAACAAATTTTTTTTTTTTCCACTTCCAGTCTGACCGGAAATGGCCGAAAAAGGGTTGGTTCTAGAGCGAATCTCACTCTAGTTCAGTTTAGCTTGTTCTATATAAATACTCACAGTGACCACTGTGATCGGCTTTCAAAGAATGGTCAAAATTGATAATCTAGATTTTGAGTTAAAAAGTCACAAAAATTCCGATCAGTCGTTTAACAGCGGAGCTTCGTTCCAATTAAAAATCAGTGTTCCCCTCGTCAAGAGAGTCCCTTATCGCGCTAATTCCTGTCTAATATGAAACACCCCAAGTTCGCGTGATTCGAAAAGAAGGTAATGTGTATTCAGACACGTCTTTTGCACCCTCGCAGTGTCGCACAGAGTGTCGCGCAATCGATCAAACGTAGCAGTGTTTCGTATTCAAAATACCCTGACTCATGAAATTTTAACCATTTAAAGGGGAATGAAGTCGCCTCGACCTTTTCCCCTTTTCAAAGAAATAACGAACGTGGCAGCTGTAGAAAGCTTAATTAAAGCAGTTCGTCTCTAGTTTTCTTTTATTTTTCTGATCATTTTCATCTTCTTTTTGTTGGTCGGTCGGTCGGTTGGTTGGGTTAAGCAGCGCGCAATGGTCCACGGTTTTGAATTCCTTAATTCCGTTGGTCGGCTTGTAAAACGTTGGTAACGAGCGGCGCCTCCGTCGTTCGCCAATTAGCGAGCACGTTTCTCTTTTTAATAATGCAACGGCCTACATATGCGGCCTGCACGTTGCACCGGCTGTAATTACGTGGAAACCGCCGGCCACTAATGCGTGCCGACACAAACACGTAACGACCACTGGAATCCATGCTTACCCGTGCCTCTCCACCTCCTTTCAATCCCCTTACTGTTTCCAATATTTTCAATATTTTTCAACTTTTATTTCACCTATCTTTTATTTTTTTTCTGATCGATCAGTGCACAGTAGTGACCGGCGATACAGTATCGATATTTGGAATATCGATACTTTTCAGTTTAAATATCGATATTTAACATGATATATTGCAGTATCGATACTTAATATATGAATATCGAAATTAGATAGAAAAATATTTTGTAGCAATAAGTTTCACTTATATGTTTATTTATATGTATATATAGAATGTATGTAATATTGATCTCAATGTATAGTAATGCATAATAAATAGTTATGTAAACGTAAATCTAGATAATCCTCGTAATAGATGCACGTCCAAAAAAATTAAAATATTAAATATAATAATATGTTTATCATATAAAATAAATATTTGAATAAATAGTATATTCTTTACTGAACTTCACTTCTAATTTAATTGTACTAATTGATATTAATAATTTCGATACTTTATTCCCAATTGATGTATATCGATACTTTGGTTATCGATACCAAATATCGATACAATTCAAAAATATGCCCATCACTAGTGCACAATGATTCATTGGAACTTGAACGCATTCATGAACCTCTGTCATCCTTTGTTCTTTTATTTCTTCTTTTGTGGGATATTAGGTGCTATATTAGGATACGGTTACCAGTGTGTTGAATTTCCAAGCTTTGATAAAATGATTTAAACAATACGGTGCTTTTTCGCGACATACATTGCACACCTGTTTCAGAAATATGAATGAGTCGTGCTTGTTCCCTGGGAACATGGACAGGTGACAGCAAGCGATTCGATCGTATCTATCTTCCATGCAAAATGGCCTTGCACAGTTTGATGGTGGTGAATTATTCGACTCGAGTATGCTCGAAAAAACGCGTGACTGTTAGCCATTACTTCTTTTTCAACGATGTTCGTAATTTCTGAAAATGATCGCACCCTCGACGACAACGATCAGAGTTCACGATCTATCTTCCCTTTATTTAATAGAGATAGACTGTTCTGTTACGTATCATATATCATTTTACAATCAACGACGCCTTTGCATATCGCAACGACACGCGACGTGATTCTTTTCTTAAATTTGATTTTTCTCCAAAAATCAGACACAGAGGTAAACAGAACTGTTACAAAAGTTTGTACACGTTCCTCTGAAATTCCTCTTATGGTTTCCCTTTTTCTCTTCACTGACGTGAAAATTTACGATGCAAATTATCGCATAAATCGCGGTGGTCGCGATCCAACGCGGCTCTGAGACCGTAAAACAACCGTGAAATTATGCAAACAGCGTGGCGCGGTTCGTGCAAGATTTTTCAATTAAATGCTCCTCGGAGGATAAAGATGGAAATGTCATCTTCAAAATCAACATTGTGGGAAACTTATGAATCACCTCATTTTTATATTACTGGATGGCCCAAAAGGAGGTTCAGTTTTGATTTCAGAGCCATCTTTTTATTTTTATAGATATTCAAATCATTATTTGATAAACAAGTACACTAAAGTTGGGAATTTTTTTATACATGTCTTTTAGTTCTAAAATGGCAACTGCAAAGATCACACACATCTCTTAGCGATCAATGATTTATTTATTTCGGGTTATATCAAGGCTAAAGTGTATCAAGCGAAGATCAGAAATACGGAACACCTCAAAGAAAGAATCACTGAAGTCATCCAGTTGAAAAATTGAGAAAAAATCGATTTGTATTCACACGTGTTTCACTCGCTTTTTAATGGTCAGTAGAGACAATGTTGTCTTTGGATCGAATTGTTTGAAACAAAGCTGCGCCCCTTAGTGGTTACTGAGGGAAAACAATGAAAATCTCATTCATTAAATTTTCAACGTTTCTGAATAAAATGGCTATTATTTCGGCAAAGTGGAACACAAGCAAAATATTGTAGTATTGCGCTATAGTTTACGAAGAAGACATCGGAGCCAAAAACATCGAAAACCAAGAATTAATGCCTTTTTGACAGTATTTTGCATTTAATTATTCTTGTTATTATTACTATTATTATTTCAATCACTGAACGACTAATTATTAATTAATTAATTAAATATTGAGATAATTAGATTGAATGAAAATAAATTTATTTAAAAGTATTGTTTATTTTTATCTATTCCTAATTGGATTAAAGAATTTCCAAGTTTTTCTAATCCGTAGATAGTGATAGCGCAAACAATATTTGGCTCGTGTCCCACTCTGCCGAAATAATACCATAAAATGCAATTTATTTGAATTGAATATCTCTCGTAGTTTTTTTATAATGAATTTTTCAAAACGAAAGCTCCTTTTGGGCCACCCTGTATGATGGCATAATGATTTATTCATCGACAGTGTTTCTATAGCAACCGAAAAGATTGAGGAAATTTTTGGAAATTATATCTAACGAATCGTCATTGTTTTTCTGTTACAGGTACGGTGACATGGTTCCGAAAACGATCGCGGGAAAAATCGTTGGGGGTGTATGCTCCCTCAGCGGTGTCCTTGTGATCGCTTTACCGGTGCCTGTTATCGTCAGTAATTTCAGTCGAATATATCATCAGAATCAGCGAGCTGATAAGCGGAAGGCGCAGAGGGTGAGTTTTATAGACTTTTTCTTTTTCTCTCATCAATTTGCAAATAAATATCCGAGGATTTGCGTTAACCCTTTGAAATATTATTGCTGCCTCTGCACGTCCATGGTCTAATTTATGGATGAAAAATATTTTGCCTTCGATAAATGTCCTAGTAAAACGACTGAGTTTGGAAAAATATTTCACCCCGAAACTGTTGAAAATTCAGGTCCCTTCGTTCGATAAATCATATATCATCGCGTTGTTAATCTGGTATCGGTGACGCGTGTTATCGTACCCGACCAAATTCGAACGAAATTTGATTCGACCTTAATTCCACTTGGATCCAACTGTAACTCATCGGATTGCCGACGAGCAACGTCGTTCGAAAGTGAATCCGATTAACATTAATTCATGTTTGCCAGCGCGGTATCAAGATCCACGGGTGTACCTGTTATTTTTTGTCCGTCGACGTTGAAGCGGAAACAGAAACAGTCGAAACGAAATTTCGTCAGATTTCCGGCACTCGAAACGAAACAGTCGGTGGAAAAAAAATCGATCTACCCAGGCTACGAGTCTAGGTGAAAACGTTTTCGACTGTTTCCTCTCGCTTGTACGTTCCACGTTTCGCGCATCCACAAATAGCCGTGTCACTATTCGTGCCACGGGCTGTTTACTTTATTCTGGTACAGCGGGTATCGATGTTGTTGTGTGTTGTCTTTGGAGCCGGGTTTGTCCGGACTCAAGGCTACTTTTCTACGAATCTTCGATCAAATCGAGTGTACGCGAACGTTTCTTCGTTAAAACGAGCAGCAGTTTAATTGACTACCTTTTAACCCTTTGGGAACGGAGCATTGTTAACCTTGCACGGAGTATAATTAATTTGAAATAAACGAAGTGATAATTCCATCCTTTAAAGCATATATTATAAATCTTTACTGTCTACATTTATAGCTGTGTTTTGTATCAAGAATATGGGGTGATTACGATTTCCGTGGCTCGTAGTTTAAAGGTTAAATTTGTGTTCTTCAAGCCATTTCAAAAAAAAAAAATGTATATGTTATAGGTACCAATCGGTTTAGCCAGTAAAGTAGATTTCCTGTTTTTTATAAATCTGTAAGTATCTGGAAAACTATGTGAAATGTGGCAAAATATCAGATCTTTTTTATAAAAAATTAAATTTCCAACTATTTATGTTCTATGACATTTTTTCATCAGCTGCGTAGTTTTCGAGATATATCAAATTTCTCTAAAAATATTTCATTATGTCATTATCCCATCTAAAATAGATTAAGTTATGTTATATTTTATGGAGTGGGGGCGCCCATTTATTGGACAATCAAATTGTGTAGCAGTACCGAAAATATTTGAAGTGCTGCTGTAATATTACTACGGTAATGTCATTAATTTTTCGTAAAATTTTGAGTCATAGTTAGCCTTTGAGTCGCCAAAAATCCTTCTCGCAAATACTGTTTTTATGCAAAATCTCAGTCAAATCGGGTTTGACAGATTTTCGGAAACTTCGAACCATAGTTTCCTAGATATTTGCAGATTTACAAAAAACAGAAAATCTACTTTACTGGCTAAACCGATTTGGTACCTATAACATATACATTTTTTTCTTGAAATGGCTTCAAGAACACAAATTTAATTTTTAAACTAGGGGCCACGGAAATCATAATCGTGCCAAGAACAATTATAATAACAATTATAATTATATTTGGACACACATACGCGTTGATCGTCCGCAAAGGGTTCACTTGGTATCCTCCAACCTACTAAAATAACGTAACATTATCGTAAGTAATTATCATAAATTATAGTTTTCGTTTCCCAAAAGAAGTATAGTTTCCCGGGGAAAGCAGAGAAGCAAGTTTTCCTTGAATTTCTCGAACGGAACGGAGGAAAAGTTAGTTTGCCGATCAATTTATCTCGACTCTCGTGACAGTTCAGTAATACACCGGCCTGGTGGCACACTTGCCACTCACTTAACTAACTTACCGTCACACTTTTTCCATTTAAACCGAGTGAATTTCATTCATTTCCTCGCGTCGAGATTTTCACTGGTATATAGCTGTTTAATGATGGAACGCGATGTTACGTAACGTGATCGAATTGGGCTATATCATTGCGTATGTAGCACGTGGTCATCTTGTTGGATGACATCGGTGGCCAGGAATGTGACCAATCGATTAGAACGAGGAGAATTTATGGAGGGAATACGAGAAGGGAATCAGTATTTGGGGATGAAATGATGGGTATTGAGGTTTACTAGTTCTGAATTCTTTTTCCGAATCTCTCCTTCCATTAACATAGTAATTCGATCTCTTTTATTTCCCAGTCGATGTGTTAACAGTTTGTCTAGAAATCACGAAAATTTTCATGATTCTTTCGCGTGCATAAATCACGTCATTAACGAGTTCAGGGAGGATCGTTTAAGAAAACCGAACAGGCGGTCGAGATTTTTCTGAACGAAGAATTCCAATGAAATTCGATATCATGGATCATCGACAACGAATCGAATCATCGACCTTTTCGAACAGAAGACATCCTCCACGATTCTTCCAACTGTTCGATTCTCAATTTAGCCGCTAACGCAAATAGGTCTTACATTGTCCAGCTTCTATTTTCTTAGAGCTCGAAAACAAGCGTGAATGGTTCGCGAACATTTTTATGAGGTTTCAAGTAATATTAACTTTCTGTCGTAACTAAAAGAAAAAACAAAAGAAGAATTGTAGTTTTCGCATTGAAATTAATTCCCGTGAATCAACGATGGGTTATTTTTAATCGAGCGACCGATAATTTCCTTAGCAGACATGAAAGTCTAGACGCTCGAGAACGTTTCGCTATTATCCCGAATGCTAATGACGAGAGGACAAAGATTGCTGTTACTTTCCGATACTCTTCAATCGTCCAATCGCGGCCAACGATTATCCTTCGTCTACGATTCGCTGAACGAATCAATTTCATCGAGGACCCATTAAATCGCGAATACATTCGGTTCTGTCGAGTAACCTAGCGCTTGTTCTTCCTCTCCGCTTCCATTTCCTTCAATTTACCTACCCGCGCAATTATTCTTCAAAGTTGAAGAGACCATCGACCGTCTCGACACAAAAGTCTCCATTCCTTTCAACGTATTCCGTGAATCATTCTCTTGTAGATATTAAACAGATTTAATATCTACGTTCCTTTTTCTTTTCAAGAATATTTAATGCGGACAGAGTTGTCCATCATAGCAATCAACTGCTTGTAGTTTTCACTTAACTTAATCGCCTCGGGACGCGTCAGAGTTGACGGAAACTGTACGGCTTTTCTGACGAGTTGACGGATGACAGGGAATTCGAAACTTGACTGGCAAAGTTCAACGCCGGGAGCGGTCGGTTGCGCAAAAACAACCGATCCGTAATTTCTTTTAACGCGTAGGATCTGAGGGTGGCCAGTGAGTAGTTGGAGACTGTAGCAGAAGTTTGGTTTGGCTGGTAGCCAGCTTTGGCTACCCTCAGTTCATTACCACTATCCCCTGTGTTCGTCGAGAGTCGAGAGACATAGACAGCTGGCTGAATAAAGTGGCGAGCAGTGAGAAACAGAGGGAGAGAGGAAGTACGGTCGCGGTTGGGAATCTTCCGGCCTTTTCACGAATCTGATTAATAGCGATTGTTGCTTTGCTTCTACAGTCTGTTACTAAATTAATGGCCATGGATTACCCGGAAGATTCCTTCTGTCATGTTTGTGGATATTCATAACAGAAACTCATTGATTAACACAGCGAGCAATCGTAGAGGGAGTTTTTGCAAATTAGAAGCAGAGGGGTAACAGCTTGCCGACAATTCGCAGCTTCTAAAAATCCTAGCTCCTCATTTTCCTTTCCTCGTTTCCTCACTTTCTTCCTCGCTTTCTTCCTCGGTTCGGTTAAATCTGCATTGCAGAGGCGTCGCATCTACATATGCATTGCCACGTTTCGTTCCGATTCGCGGTTTCGGACACCATTGAATCATTCGTTTCGCATCCCTCCTTCCTTCCCCTTATTCTTCTTCCCGTCTATTGGATCGCTGCGAACGAAGTCTGATTTCCGACGCGGAAGATTGAAGTTTGTTTTTCGTTTAGTTTGCTCTAGTTGTTTCTCTCGGTTTCGACGAACAGAATACGTGCTTTTGACTTTTCTCTTCGACTGTGTTGCTTTCATTCACTTTATGCAAAGCATCGCTGTGTATTTCGAAGTAGAAAAATTTAATTCCGACAGGACCAACCTGATCCTGCCACGATACTTAAGAGTTAACGTGCCTTGTTTTTGACATTACTGTCTTCGTTTGAGGATGCACAGCCAAGGAATATCGGTGCCAAGCAAATAAATACATTCAGGATGAAACATTAGAGTTTATCTAGCATCGATCTACTAGATCAGCTTTTTCGATTTCACAGATCGATCTTACCAGGCGTAGTAGCAAGTTCAGCCGGCTAAGGGTAAACAAATATTTGAGGGAAGCTTCGACGAGTAAACAGCTGCCTGGCGAACTTCTCGTCTCGTGAAACAAACTCCGATTTCCGTCGGAACTTGGCCGACGCGAACGCGTTACCGCATAAATTTTCACAAAATTTCTCGTTCGATGATTTCAATGTTTCCACTCTCGCGGAAATATTTCCTTCGCGGTACGTTTATTTGATCCCCATAGGATTTTATTATACAACGAGACAGAGGGTTGGGTAAATTTGTTTCTATCGATAAATTCATTAAAAGAAAATTAAAATTAAACCAATTTGTTGTGTTTCCGTATGGCCCCACTAAAACTGAGAACTCAGGTTCGGTATATAACCTAAATTGACTACAAGAAACCGATTAAAGTTGGTTTCAGAGCTGGATGTCTTATCGTTTTCGAGATAACGTGGTAAGGTTAGGTCAGATTAGGTTAGGTTCTTTGTATGCGCAGTATTCAATAGCGCATGCGCAGTATTGAATAGCGTATGCTCAGTATCGAATAGTGCATGCGTAGTCTTACCACGATATCTCAAAAACGGTAAGACATTCA